GATAATAATTTGTATTTTAAGCAGTTTAATAGTCGGTGTTTTCAGAAAAATGTCTATTGCTGACAGATTATGGACGAGGATGGAATTAAATAAGTGTGCACTTCCTCCCAATGCTTTTGGATATGTAAACTGAGAATAGTTAGAGGGTATTTTGCTTTATCTTGTATAGTTTGTTTCCTAAATGACTTTCTGTTTATTGTTTACATCAGGGGCGTCCAACTCCAGGCCTCGAGGGCCGGTGTGCTGCAGGGTTTAGACGTGTCCTTGATCTTTACCTAAATGACCTCCTCAAAGTGTCCTGAAGTTCTCCAGAGGCCTGGTGATGAACTAATCATCTGATTCAGGTGCGTTGACCCTAAAACCTGCAGGACACCAGCACCTCGAGGCCTGGAGTTGGACGCCGCTGGTTTGCATGATCAGAATAAATTGAGAAAACTGTTCAGTGAACAGTCAGCATCGATAACTCAGTTCATCTCCTTATGCCAAATTTAAGACCTGTGCTCAGCTCAGCTCCTTCAACAATCTGGGGAAGCTCCCTTTGTTGGAGCTCACAGGGATGCTTTGTAGTCTGACATTTTTCTGGCACACACAAAGATCCACTGTTCCCACAAACACACCACCGCTGTCGCCATCGACAGAAAATCATTGCAGCATTAACTGCAGTGTTTAATATCATCTGGTCGGCAGCTCGACTTCACAATTTGAAGGCAAGCTGCTCGTCTAAAGAGCGGGCCGATTCATTTTATAGTCGCCAAAGCGATCAGTCAGCTGTGCGCGTGACGTGTCGGGGAAAGGCTGATAAAGCTACAGCAGCAAGGTCACCCCACACAGAGGCATTTTTCCTTGACTGCTAATGCGGCTAATGTGCAGCTCAGCGCTTACACCAGAAGGCGAGGAGAGAGGGAGGAACAGGAAATACATGTCTGCGGAGCGTGCGATGAATATCGGGGGACACAGGCGAGGAGGCAGATGCAAGAGAGACATTAAGTTCAGAGTCATTAGGCACAACATATTGCTGTCATTATATCATACTGCACGACATTCATCAGCCCGTTCATTACGAAGCCGTGGGAGGGCACAAAAGCAGCGGCTCGTCTGCTGTGAAAAGCAGCTCTTCTTTTAGGAAGTTCAGTGGGATGCTTTCCCCTCACGCTGCTGTATTTAAAGCAGCCTGTGTGACACTCAACCTGACTAAATCTGTCTGAGGCAAAGCTGAGGCATTCAGCTCGCTGAAGAGGCGAGAGAGCCGGAGATACAGCGAGAGCGGCGCTCTGGCAAAGAGTGTACGGGTGACTGCTTAATGTTGTTCTCATGAGGACGAGGTCAGACAAGTTTACAGGGATAGAAATGGGCCGCTCCGATCCCCCCACTGGATCAGACTCGAGTTTCAGAAAGAAGCAGGGGTCCAAGGATGGATTGGACTATCACCTGTGAACTTATTGTCAAATGTATTTAGATTTTACATCAAAGGATCACACAGTGATCACAAAGTTACATTTTTATTGGGCTAATTTATGAAGAACATCCACATCTACAATCCACTAACTGCTGTTTTGGGTCAAAAGAAGCTTTTAACAGCACCGTGAAAAAAGTGAAGCGTTATCAGTGCAGGAATAACCTCAGCACATACGTGTCCTTAATCCTAAACCACAAATTGCATGGCCTAATTTCCATAACAAATCTTATCAACACTGGCCTCAGAGGGAACACAAACTAATTGCTGAGGCGTTAACGTTGGGTGTCTAATTAATCCTTGAGACGCGGGCTTTTGAGTTTTGAGGCTACAAAGGAGGATGGCTGCGAGGATCAAAGTCTTTCCAGTCGACTGCGGCGGGAGAGATTAGCAAAATACGGTGGAGGCACGGAGGCAATTGAGCATCCGAGCCTTTCGGTTCCAGAGCACAACCAAGACCCCGGCTGCACGAAGAAGTCACCCTGCCCTTGTGCTTGGCTCGCTGACTGACACTGACACGTGCGAGGGCGTTATGTGATATCGTAGTAATCCCACTGAAGTCCCAGAGCCTCTTTTTCGTAACCCATGCAGGAGAACAGACACAGGAAGGAGTTACTGCTGCAGTAACTACTGATAGCGGGTTGTTGTTTTAATTTCGTAGTTTGTGACACATGTGAGTGATTATGAGTTTCGTAAGCATGCATGTTGTTTATGCACCAAACTAAAGGAGAATGTTAGGACAAAAAATGTAGCTGGTTCCCTAAAAACACAGTGGCTATTGCAGGGGTGTCGAACTCCAGGCTCGAGGGCCGGTGTCCTGCAGGGTTTAGATCTCACCCTGGGTCAGCACACCTGAATCACATGATTAGTTCATTACCAGCCTCTGGAGAACTTCAAGACATGTTGAGGAGGTCATTTAGCCCTTTAAATCAGCTGTGATGGATCAAGAACACATCTAAAACCTGCAGGACACCGGCCCCCAAGGGCTGGAGTTGGACACCCCTGAGCTATTGGCCTCAAGGCTTTTCCCTTTGTGTATATAATTAACAAGTATTTAATATAAGTAAATGGGTCAGGTCACTCCAAAATCTTAGTTATTTCAACTTTTATATAAAAATAGGAGAACAAAATTGCAAATCTGCAGAAAAATACATCAAACTCTGCAGCAGTGTCTCTTTTCAGAAATCCTGAACCAGTTACTCAAAAAGAAAATACACAAACCTTCACGTAGGAACGAGTTTCTCTCACCTAACAGCAGATGGAAGCTGGCAGCAAGCTCAAATTTAAGCTCAGCTTAGGGCAGCAGCATTAATGTTTACATCGTGTCACACTGCCATGAGCGCGAGCCACTCCTCACGGTTGAAAGCACCCTTGTTTCTGCACAGCGGTACGGTTCACATTCTCGAAGATAGCTGCATCACATTTAAGGGAAAGCAGACATCTCTGATGACTCCAACACTGGGAGCTCACAGCAGAAACAGTGTAGATAAACAGCAGCAGAGGAAAAACCCTGGATTTCGTGGCGAACTACCCCTTTAAGAACTGCTTCATGGAAACGTCACTGCATCATTTCTTCATCGCTGCTGTCGGTGAAACAGTCTTGATTCGCTGAACGACTGCAGGTGTAATAGTAGAGCCAGATGTGCTGAAAATCCTTTCCCACTATTTGCATCTCTACATGCGTGTTTGTGTAATGCTGGGGGAAACTATTACACAAAAGCATCTGTTTTCATGTAGATTCACACACTGTAGATGGCTTTGAAGTTTAACCATCCATTTATGATCTTATGCTTATTTAATTCAGGCTATGCGAGCTCGCTGGACACAGAGGCAGATATCCACGCTCACGTCCTGAGATTCACCAGGCTGAACCCACGCTGACAGAATGTGCAAACAAAGCAGGACAAACCTGGATTCAAACCCAGCACCTCCTCACTGTGAGGCAACAGTGCTCACCACCTCACCACGCATGTTGATGTTTATTTCTACACATAATATTCTCAAGCACAGATGGGAACAATAAACATCTCACAGCCTCGTTCATGTCACAGAAACCTTTGGAAGCATCGGGCTATTATGTCTGGTGTTACAGTTATTATAAAACCTCTTTAAGTTACTCTCCCTGCACTGTGGGAAGCACGGGGACTTTCTATAAACTCATTTCTTCTTTCATTAAACGTAATAAACATATCGAGTCAAACAAAACCAACATCTGAATAAAACTGGGATTCCTCTGATCTGACGATTAAAAACAGTGTTAGACGTCTGATCAAGCATTCAATGCTTTCTGCACAGCTCTGCATACTTGATGCTATTTAGATTTGTCCACATGTGTGTCTAGCCAGCTTTAAAGCCCTAGTTTCTTCTCTTTGCCCCGGCGCTGCCTCTGGCTAGTCGAGCCACCGTAAAGTTGAACTCATCTCCATTTCACTGGCCCTCTAACAGCCTGTAACCCATTCAAGGACCACTGGGTGCCACCCTCTCAACTGGATGACAGGTTGCTCTTCCATTCGGCAGCCGCCTGCTCAGGTTACCTCGACCAAGAGTGGAAAGAAGGTCTCATCTGCTGACAGCCCACTGCTCCACTGCATCACTCTGCAGCAGCACTCAGGAGGCACAGGCTGTGTCTGCACCCCGCATGCAGGAAAACAATCCTGCCTTGGCAGCTGAGGCTCCCTGTCCCAGCTAATATTGTGGTCTGATCCAAATATAGCCTCACTTGTAAATCTTGCAAAGAGACAACTAAGATATGGGCTGTTCAAATCCACTGTCAGAGGCACGGAGTATTAACATGAAGCAGGCTGGTTCTGATTATCCTTTGTAAAGAAGAAGGAGGGAAAAGTCGATTTTATGATGTACTTTTTTCTTGCAGCCTCCAATACAAGAACAGCACCGGAGACCAAAATACAATGAAATGTGAGGAGGTGTGAATGAGAAAAGGCAAACACTGCGAGCTCAAAGCAGATTAAACATGCACCTGTCCTCGAGTCTGTCCAATAGCATGGAAGCTGACACTGAGGTGCACGACGCTGTGTGCAGTAGTGCAGTCCACCTGCAATAGTTCGGAAATCCCGAGGAAAGTGATCTCGAAGCTAAACAACCTTAAACCAGAGGAGATGACCGACAAGAGAGAACCTCCTTCAATAAAAATAGGCTAACTATCAGCCAATCAAGGCCCGTGAGCTGCATGTGAGGATAGTACGGACAACAACAGCTGCCCACAGGGAACAAATGGGCTCCTATCAGGAGGCAGGCTAATGGGCTAAACAGACAATAACCGACCAGAAGGTCATAACTCGGATGTGCCAAAGTGGCCATTTTTCCTGAACACCTATTATCACAGCAGTGAATTTTGGAAACAGCACGAAATGCCAGTCAGAGCCATCGTTTAGAGGCCCGCTGCCTGACCAGGTGTTGATTTTGGGACGCCCTCGTGGAGACAAAAGAACCGTGCCACCGCGAGGTGCGCGACGGCAGTGCGCCTCTTGTCTCGTTTTCCAACAGCGTCGCGTTCACCTGTCCTTCCCCTCCGCCTCCTCTCACTCACCCAGCACGCCGGAGGAGGTCTGTGGCGGAGCCGAGCCTGGATCCGGCCTCTCTGCGTCTCCTTGCGGCGCTCGGTGTCGGTGCCGGGAACTCTCGGGGCCGTCCCCGGAGGTGGTCGCGCCACCGGCGGCCGCCCCGGCTGCAGCAGCGCCCGCCACTGCCGTCCCCGTGTCGGGCATGCTCTCTATCAGCGAGGAGCGACTGAGGATGAGGGTATTCTCCGGGAAATCGTGCAGCGGTGTCGCATCTCAAGAGGAAGGCAAAGCATGGGTGTAGCGTGGGGGTCAGAGTGGGGGTTAAATGAGAATGAAAGTGAAGTGAAGGTTGTCGGCGTTGGCGCAGCGGCGGATCATCCTGGTGGTACTCTGGAGCAGGATGCGCGGTTAGATGGAGAGCGCTCCTCCAACCACTACAGGAGGAGGGACAAAGAGAGGGAGGGAGGGGTGGATGGAGGGGGCTGTGTGACACACATGCACCTTCACGGTCGCTGACTGATTGTTGTCTCAGATTACATTACCAAAACTGTTAAATGTAACAAACCCGCACCACGCACACTGTAGGAATTAAAAAAATCTGTCTGTTAGGATCATTTTATGCATGCATGTAGTAGCGGTTCCTCCATCTCTGAGAGAAATGGATCTTTATCACCTCGCAGGCTGCAGATCGAGTCCAAAAATAGAATCCAAATGGCTACATTAAAGGAAAACTCATTCAAAATGCATGATTTTTACAGTGATGACATTACTTTACAGGCAAGATGCCCAGTCAGATGATCTTGTGCTTTTAATGTGCACGCCTGTGATAATCCTTTCATAGACTATCACTCTTCTTTGACTATGACAGGAAAAGCTGTGCAAAAAATATCTTCATGGATTAAATTTTTAGTGACACTTGGGTGTGGCTACCGGTAATATCGCTTCTCAGTCAAACACTCTACAGTAAACACAGCATGGAGCTGTGTAATGTTTGCTTTGCTGCTTAATAAGCTTGGTCATTCCATCACTGTATCGCTAAGGCCAGTTCACATGGTCACACTGTCTTGAAAAGAGAGCAAAGAGCAGTCCTCCACCCTAAAGAGACACACAGCCCTCAAAATAAATGTTGTTACAGCAGAGCGAGTCAGATGATCCTCTGCAGGTAAAATATGTGCTTTGTCTTAAATTACTATGTCTGCCCCTTTTCTACCTGTGGGGGAGTTGCTAAAGCATATGTTAGGAGTGCTTGTGTGTGCAAGGAAGGTGAACACAGCTATCGTTGTAGACGAAGATCATTTCATAACCTGGAATGATAATCGGGGCTGAGAGGTAACTGTCTCTGTTTGGACTGTATTCGGCAGCTGTAAGGTGGCAGCTGTCATGCTCTGTGCACACACTGAGCTGTCTATAAATTATTTAGATCCCCAGGTTAAAGATTGCTCCCAGGCCTTGGGCCATGCCTCTTCACTGTGTACACAATCTATCATCCTGGTCGTCCCTCCTGGAGGCCGTGGTTCACTGTGCGGCTACAGAGGCAGGCTGGCAGCCCGCCCCCTCGTATGGCTCAGAAGCATCTCATCTGTGAGCACAAATTCTGCTTACTCACCACTCTCTGGGATGACAGCTGCAAGACGCTGCAGTGGGGCACACACACACACACACACACACTGATGCACACAGTCTCTGTTTATATTCTGTTACATGCACGCATTTATGTAGACTATGAAGAACCACAGATCAAAGCACTGTTAGTTTTAATAGACAGAACACAATCTAAACAAATACTGTAAAACTTATCATTTGAAATAAATTAAAAATAGTAGTGCTGTTTGCACTGCTGTTGATTCTCACACACTAAGGAATACCTTCCACCTTGTGCTGAAAAAAGCAAAACTTGACTGCTGATTTGTTTCCTGATTAACATGTGGATTCTGCATAATGTGCCAGAGGTGTTTCCCCCAGTCTTTGATGATTTGGTAAGTAAATTGGCAGTAAAACAAACTGTGGTCTGTCCTGAGCTGAATTTTACATCCTCCTTTTTTTCCATATACTAACCACAAAACAAAGGTGCCAGACATGTTGGCACGTACATCGCACAAACAGTAGATCCTTTGACAGCAGGTGCATCACTGAGTTAATCATTTGAGTTCATGTAAACATAAGTTAAAAAAAACAAAACAGTAGTGATAAAAAGTGAAATGTTTATAGCAGCAATAAGAACGATATTAGCTACATACACAAAAGGCAAAACAGTGGAATTTGCAGCAATGATCGATGTACAACAATGACAGTGTTAATGAACCTTTTTGTGGCCTAAATCACATAAAATCCCTTCATATTAGGGGAAGATTTGTAAATATCACAACATAATTTCAAGTTAAACAAGGAGTTATTTTAATGCTTTATTTCATGCAACGCTACTTTTGTGGGGGGACAAAAGATTACTGTCAAACAGATTACTTCCACAAAATAACCAACATTTTATATTTTAATGTTTAAATGGATGTATTTGTTTAACGTGATATAAAACAACAAAAAAGGCTGAAAATCGGACCTTTGATCCCGGAACCGATCATATTTGAAAGAGTCACACGGACCGAATTTCCAGCGTACGATGGGCGTGTTTTAAACTAGATTGACAAGCGTCGAACAAACGGGAGTGCTTAATCTGCTGTCGTTGTGAGAAACGCTAACCAATCGAAATCAAGGGTGGGAGGAGCTACTTAAATGTGAGTGAAAGATGGGAAGGAAAAGTCACGAGTGGGATGAGTGTGTAAATCATACTTTAATATAACATAAAATAAGACGCAAAAGAGTGAATGTCCGGATTTGGCAGCTAACATTAGCTTCACAGACACTCCGATGTTAACTGAAAAGAAGTAAAGTGGAAATAATGTGTTGGGTGTCGGTCTGTAGGAGAAGCGGCAAATAAATGAAACGTTTGGTGTCTCATAATCATGCTGCCGCTGCGGCCCGTGTGTGGTGGGATATGGAGAGCTGCTGTGCACACAGTCAGGATGAGGTTTGTTCTGTTTCCCGGCCTCTATGTCAAATTCATGTCTTTATTTTTATGGCTGCATTCACAGAAGCAAAATAGTGATAAATATAGTTAGATTTGGGCACTTTTCATTATTTACCCACTCAAGTTTAATGCTTACACTGACTTAACTTGCAGTGTTGTTTATTTAAGTGCTCATTTATAACTTTGATTTTGAGTTTAAATAATATGATAGAGGTATAATAACTGAAAACAAGATGTAGAATATGTTATAGTATGAATCAGTCATTTTCTTATCTCCAGCCGTGGAGCTCCACCCCACAGGCTCCTCTCCTCTACCTGTGATGGAGCCCCAGCTGCACTGGCTGATGCTGACACCATCTTTGCGCTGTCGTCCGGGCATGGCAGGTGCGGGGTGGCAGTGGTACGTGTCAGCGGTCCCGCCTCAGCTACAGCCCTGAGGTGTATGGCTGGGTTCACGCAGCGTCTGCCCCCTCCACGCACCGCCCTGTTACGCAGCATCACAGACCCCCGCTCCACAGAAGTGCTGGACCGTGGGCTCGTCCTGTGGTTTCCAGGTCAGTTCCACTGGACCGTTCTTACATTTTGTTCTTCTCTGTTTTTGTCTGAGAATATGAGGATGTGGATATGTTTTTGTTTAGAAGCACATAAGTTACATCCATGTCCAAAGCTTTATCAGCATGTCCCAGATATGTAGACAGACTCGTACTTAATTATGATAAAAAGGAAGTATTCCCTCAGCCAGTGTTATTGTTTTACATATCAGCACACAATATAAAAATGATGTAGTGTTTGCCAGGCAATTAAAGTAGGTAAATACAACCTGAGATGAATAATGCCTTATGATGTATTACACAGTGTTGTTATTCCTCAGGCGGGGACCACACCTTAGTTCTGATTAAACAGTGCTTATTGAAACAGGATGATGGATGGAGTGAGCAAAGATCTTGATTAATGCTGCGGTTTGGGAACGGCCTCAAAGAGGATCAGCGGTTTCTTCTAAGTCCTGGGTACCAACAAGAGGAGAGGGTGGGTGGGGTTGGGATGCTAAGCCAAAATACAGAAGCAGTGTGTGAAAAACTAACTACACTCCATGATTCAGGGACTAGTAGAACCCCATTTAGCAGCAATAGCTTGAAGTATTGTTGTGGAGGATTATAGGCTCACTCTTCTTTTCAAATGTGCTTCAGTTCACTGATGTTTGTGGCTATTTATTAAGCCACAAGGCTGTAAAACAAGCCCAAACCTTCATCACTCCATCACTGTGCTGAAGTATTTGTGCTAAGATGCTGTTTCTCCACTTTGGTGTCATCTGCCTAAAGCACATTGTTGCAGAAGGTTTGTGTTTGGCAGATGCAGCCATGCAAACCAAACATGCTGAGTCTGAGACGTAGTTCTTTGTTTAGTTTTTTTCCCCCATTTCTCTGAACACGACCTGAGCTTGGAGTGACTTTGGTGGAAGGTTTACGCCTGAGAAGTGGAGCATCTGCCTCAAATGTTTTCCACTCGTGAAATAAGGTTTTTCACTGCATTGTTTGGAAATAGCGTGTAGAGGCTAAATGGTGGATATAGAGCGGTGGCTGCTTTAACGGTGGGTCACATTCTCTAAACAACATGACAGTTTGGTAAAACCGCGTCATTTCTTACTAACCCACAACCATAGCTGCTGTGTTTGATCTAAAACCAGTAATAAATCTTTCCAGCATCTCACGTCCTGCCTGTTATTCACTTCAGTTGTCTTTACATATTTAAATAACTAAAGGACGCACAGAGTGTTGTTATTCCTTTGTTTGTTTCATCAGCTCCTCGTAGTTTCTCCGGAGAAGATAGCGTGGAGTTCCATATCCACGGAGGTCCCGCTGTCATTACTGCTGTCTTACAGGCTCTTGGTAAGATGTGATTCTCAGTATAATGTTTTAAAAAACTTGATATAATTCAATGTGACAAGCAAACATATCCAGACTTGAGATGCAGCCGTCCCTTTGAAGAGCGTTTTGAAGTTTGAGTCTTTGTAGCTTCCTGAGCTCTAAGCCTCCGTAAGTACGATATCTGTTGGAGTCAGGCGGCCATCCATCACTGCGACTTAAAACAGAGAACTGACGCATGCATCGCCGCGTCTGAGATACTTTTAATATGCGCTGTGGCAAGCGTGACAGTCCTCCTGTGCTTGATGTTTTTACTGCAGTTCTCCTGTTGACCTCCCAGGGGGCAGCATTGTATAAAGCAGAGAGTTTATGTGCTGTAAGGTTTTTTTTTTCTAAGCAGGGAGGAATATTTAATATTACATTATCTTTGTTTTCAAGGTTTGTTCAGATAAAATTGTTGCCTTCATTTGGAAACCAAAAGCACCAAGCGTGTCGGTGAGATCAGTCGGGGTAAAATGTCTCTAATCAGGAGACGGTGACCCACGTTTGGTTTTGCACTCACTATTGTCTCTCCTGATGAGATTTGCAAAGTGTCTGAGAAAACAATGAACCTACTTAACCTGTAGTTGTGCCTGTTTTTGCTCTCTGCGTGAGTCATTGACCTTGTGTTTTGTCCTCAGTGTGTGCATTGTGTGCACACACGTCTCATACATTTCTTCATATTTGTGTTTACGTGTGTTTTTCAGGAAGCGTGCCTGGCTTGAGGCCGGCCGACGCGGGGGAGTTCACGCGGAGAGCTTTTCAAGCAGGGAAACTCGGTTTAACGGAGGCGAGTGGAGAGGAATGTGTAAAACACATTGTTGTGCATCTGGAGTTATTATAGCATCCCGTTCGGGGATTTCAAATGCATGAAATGTAAACAGGGACAACTTCTCCTTTTGCATATTTTGCCCTTTGGCAGTTTAATTTCATTGAGTTGTCTGATATTCCCGCATTAATGCAACAACTCTGAAGATGTTTTTTTTAATATACAGCCTGAAGCATTAATAAAAGTCTGTTTGGATTTTCTGTGAAGCGTAAAAAACAATATATTAACCTCACACAGGACGTTGGATATGAATAACACGTACGGACAATTTAATAAAGTTTTTAATGGACTGTTTTGAGAGGAAAAGTAAAATAGCAGATGAGCCAAACGCTCGCAGGACTTTCAGATAAGATGAGTTTTATTGGTGCTGAAAGGAATTTGGCATCGGTGTGTAAGCTGTGGCAGCGACATCCCTCTCTAAACAGCAGCAGGATGCACTTTCCTGTAGATAACACCTAATGGACATAATAAGGGAAAAACACTTGATGAAAC